AGACTAGATCACCCGTTCCGGGCATCACTGTTTCCATAGACGTTGGATGAAGGAGAGGGTCACAAAAATTCCGTGCATTCTAGAAGAGTTATCCAGCCATGCTAAGGGAAAATGCGCAGGCCCTATCGGAGAATTAATAATGCGTTTTTGAGAAAAATTTTTCAGAACAATTTTTCAGCTAACCCTTTTTTCAGGTTTGCGTTGTTTAAAATTATCATTTCGAGGAAGATTTCGAAAACGTCGCAAAGCGCCGGTCTAGTCAAACTGCGCGACATGTTCATTATTCCAGATTTTTTTAAATTTGTGGTTTGCTTACAGAGATTTAATGTGTCAGCCTTCGGAATTACAGAAGCTGTGCAAGGGAAGACAAATAAGTAGTTGCTGCAAATAATAATTTCATACTAACCAAATGCGTGGCAGTACGGAGCGAGCGCAGCGAGGTCCGTTGAAAAATGACCGAGGGCCAACAATACAGCTCAAGCAAGTGATGTTACGAAGTTTTTTTATCATGGCCTGTAAAGATCCTGAGAGCTCAGGATTTAACAAGATTGAATATAGCGATCCTTTAATGTCCGCCAACGTGTAGAACGTAGAAACTACGTATTCCGAGCCCGCCGACTTGTCTGCGGTTGCCAATAATACCATACATTGTTACAAGACCGTTCGGAAAAAGTTCTTTAATTTTAATTTTTCGGCTTTCGCTAACAAAAATATACGGCTTATGACCGCTTCCGTGGAAATGGTACGTGTGGCAAGGTCCAGTCAAAGTAAGAACTAATCGCACGGTTGGATTTACCTCAAAACTGTCCTGCCATTTCGTAAGTTTTTATAACCTTCAAGCTCGAGGTATTAATTTACGTAAATAGTCTATTTTCTCACTGAGCTTTTTTGCTTGAAAATACATGTCCTTGCAACTTTTTACCTCGTGCTTGCGTTTTTCTGCTAGAAACTCATTGTAGAGAAAGGGTCACACCTGATCACAAGTTTTTTTATAGGTGTGGTCGTTAACTCGATCGAATTGGTTTTAAGTGTTTAGCGTACGTTTTGACATACCTTTTTTAGATTTTGACGTTCAAAAAATGTTAAATCGATGTCAGTGACGTTATACACCGACTAATCGCAGCTTCAACATCTGGAGCAACCTACAAGCTTTTGATTGTAGTATTTTGAACCTTACCTGGGTAACTGATAATTGAAAATTTGCGACGAAATGCGATCTGTAGATTTTGAAATATTGGTGATTTTTGAAAGCGTTCCCTGAGCTCAAAAGTAAATGAAATGGTCCCGTTTTAGACTTACGCCATACTTTAATCCCTCCTATAGAAATTTGTCAAATTGATACGAGCTTGCTTTCTTTTGCGCTCTTCATGAGCAAAGTTCATTTGCCTCTACTCGGTGCACTGATTTCCGCCGTTTTACGGCTACTGACGCTCGACTCAGTTTTCGTGAATATTCTAGGATAAAGAAGCAAATCTAGGGAAAAAACCTTACCACGTTTCTAAGTTCACTATAGGGTAAATCTGGCAAAAATGCGAAGGTTTCAAGTTTTTGGTCATGTGCCACATTTTTCGATTTTCACTCGGTTATTTCAAACATTCGCTCTCAAGGCTACAGAATTGACTGTACCTGAAAAAGAATTTTTAGGAACTTGAGTCTTTCCTCCTTTCCTCTCTCCAATTCTAAATCGTCCTCTTTCCTTTTTCTTCCGTTATATTAATTGTTGAACAGAATGGATGACCATCATTTTACTGTATTTTAATGGCAGACAAGGCTCAGGGACATATGTGATTTAGGGAGAATTTTTCAGTGGGGAGGGGGGGAAGGGAAGAGAATCCTTAACTGTTTTTTTGGGGAATACAAATTAGCGTTTTTGCCGTACTTTTGTTTCTTTGTCAGTTGACTTGAAGAGATATAACACGATAAATCGTCATGTAAATCGTGACTGATTTCTCACTTTTTAATTTACAGGCGAAGATGAACGAGAAGGAAATGAAGATCTTTGTTTTTTTAACGTCCGTGACCATGTTGACCAAGATGACGGAGTTCGTGAGACAATTGAGGAGAATATAGACAGAGAGTTGGATTCATCATCTGCCATAAACAAGAACAAGCAAGAAGGCCAGGAGGAGGAAGAAGAAGACTCAGAAGAATTAGAGCGAAAAACAAAAGAACTGCAAGTGATATTCAATTGTTTACCACCAGTTCTTATCAAAAGAGTTCTCGGTCGAGAAGACGTTAAGGGAAGTATCGAGAAAGCGAGTCGGAAGCTACAAGAGTTTCAAGATATGGAGAATCCTGCAGACAGGGAGACCGCGTTAGGGCAGGGAACCACAGTGGTAACAGAAGGCGTGGTAAAATTTGAATACGAGGAGCACAGGGGCCATGATATCAAAGGTAAGGAGTTATCAATTAGATAAAAGGTGTAGGTTTTAAAAGAAACTGTAATGTTGTGTCGGTGGGAGGTATTACAATATAATTTAGTTTTATAAACTGAGTTTCTAATATAAATTGGCCACCATAAAGAGTTTCTAAAGCTTAGATTTCGAGAGAAAAATGACGAAGAGCTGATACTAAAAACATCAGTTTTAACGTTGACTGATTTTTTGGGGAATACAAATTAGCGTTTTAACTTTTTCTTTGTTTCTTTGTCATTTGACTTCAAGAGGTATATCATGATAAATCATCATGTAAATCAGGACTGGTCCCTCACTTTTTAATTTACAGGCGACGATGATTACGCTGAAGAAGAAGGAAATAAAGATCTTGGTTCTTTTAACGCCCGTGAACATGTTGACCAAGATGACAGGGTTCATGAGACAATCGAGGAGAATATAGACACAGAGTTGGATTTATCATCTGCTATAAACAAGAACAAGCAAGAAGACCAGGAAGAGGAAGAAGAAGACCCAGAGGAGTTAGAGCGAAAATCAAAACAATTGCAAGGTATTTTCAGTTGTCTACCATCAGTTCTTATCAAGAGAATTCTCCGTCGAGAAGACGTCAAGGGAAGTATCGAGAAAGCAAGTCAGAAGCTACAAGAGTTTCAAGATATGGAGAATCCTGCAGTCCTTTTTAAAAATCCGGCTGAAGGAAAACCATCGGCGGAAAGACCTGAAGGAAAATTTGAAGCTACTCAGACACGCAGCTCTATTAAGCAAGCTTGGGTGGCAGAGGGAAAACCCTACCGAGGCCCTGAACAGGAAAGTAACAGAGGGAGGAAAAAGGGAAGAAAGCCCAGGGAAAAAAATCAAAAGCAAGGGCAATATGACGATGCAGTACGACACGATGAAGGTAGGAATAGTTGTGATGGTGATATATCAGATCAAAGTGAAGGGAACCATGCTTATAGAGGCCACAACCCAACATCGCCACCTGATGCACCGAAACCACAATCAACTCGATCACTTTCACAGTCCAGAAAACCAGAACGTTCGCAAGAAGTAACTCGGTCACCTTCACCATCCAGCAGGAAAGTATCGCCACGAAAACCACTGTCAGATCCATCACCCTCGCAATCAGGCCAAAAATCAACACCACCACCTGTTGCACCGAAACCACAATCAACTCGATTACTCGATCACTCGACACCCAAACCGAAGGAAACGGCTAGTGGACGAGGTGGGAGGCCAGGAGGCAATTACCGGGAACAATATCCAATTCCAGGAGATTTTCAGGAGAGCGACCAGTTTCCAGATGCCGAAGATCAATCTCAGTTCATGCTAAGGCAACTGAGCCAACGAAATCGAGGAAGTAGAGATTGTCATGAAATGCAGGTTCATCCAGTATCTTTGAGGGAGCTTGTCGGCAGTGAAACTATAGCCCCCAGTTCTATTGATGATTCCGATAGAGAGAAGGTCAGACAAGATGAACCCAGCAAAATCGGACAGGAAGACAGCGGTAGGGCACAGAACCGCCGTAGTAACAGAGGACGTGGTCAAACTGGGATAAGAGGAGCACAAAGCAAGTCCAGTGTGACGGGAGAGGGGCCTGCTGACATGGTGGAAAACGGAGAAGATCGGCCTCAATTTGAAAGAAATAAATTACTAATCCAGGGGTTAGGAGGGAAAACAACTGAAGACGGATTGAGGAACTTTATTGAGGCAAAGAGCGGTGGGGAAGAGGTTAAAGACGTACAGATGCTGAAGAATGGAAATGCCTTGGTCATTATGGCCGATAATATCAAAGGTAGGGAGTTTTTTCAATTGAATAAAAGGGGTATGTTTCAAAAGAAGCTGTGATGCTGTGTCGGTGGCGGGGGGGGGAGTATTACAATGTAATTTAGTTTTATAAACTGAGTTGCTAATGTAAATTGGCCACCATAAAGAGTTTTTAACGCTTAATTTTCGAGAGCGAATGACGAAGAGCTGACACTAGAAACATCAGTTCGAAACGTCAGCTTTACAAACTCTTTACGGTAGCTAATTTTACTATCACCCTAGTTGATAAATGCGGATTTATGTTCTTTTCGATCGAATATGGAGGGAAAGCAGGAATTGTTTGATAGTGTCGCTTTAATCTGTTCGCGAGTTATCAGGCAAGAGAGCTCACGCTAACTTAGTTGCAACCTGTCAGTTTCAAGCAATGAACTTATCTTCGATAAACATGTTTGATTAAAAATGTTGTATACTTTGGTTGTACCATATTTTTATATTTCGAAATACAAACTCTGATTGCCTTTTCTTTATCAAACTATCAAAATAAGTGAGATCCAAATGATTAATTGATGTTGGTAATATACAAGTTATTAAATAAGAGTTGTCTTTCAGGATGACATCCAAACGGTAGATTACGAGAAAAAGGTTTGTTGAAAATGCGATCTTTTTATTTCAGATTTCAGAAAAATCAATACCGAATGCGAAGAAAGAGGTCTGGACGATGCACAGGTTTCCATTGAACAAGTCCCGGTTTGCAAAAGCATCCTTGTCACTGGCTTTTCTAAAAATGTTACCCATAATTTTATTGAACAGTACTTTGAGAGTCCTCGAAACGGTGGGGGTCCTGTGGAGAAGGTTCACTACATACCGAAAAGTGGCCGAGCTGTGGTTGTGTTCCAATATACAAAAGGTTTGTAACTCATCGGTCTTAAAAATAGAGGTATGGTCTGATTCTTTCTGGCACAATACCTGACATTCAAAACTCAAAAAGTGATGATTGATTGATTGTTCTACTCTGTCCGAAACACCCAACTGCCTTTTGGTTTTTCGTCGCTCTCAAGATTAAGGGTCAGAGAGACTTGAGAAATGACAAATAACTTTTGACAATGAAAAACTGCGATAAAATGAGAGCCAGTTTAGAATGCTTAAAAAATGCGGCACGAAATGGGATTGTCTTGTTTATGAAATGTTGTACATAAGAACAATAAGGCCCAATTTAAACACCCAGAGCGACTCCATTAGGGCTAAACTCTTTGTTTAACTTTTAACGTTTTGTAATTTTATTCACCGCTTCATTATATATATACTCGATTTTATTATTATTTTAGTTTACTTGATAATGACGTTCTGGAAACGTCGAAACGTCGTGTCATGCTTTATAATATTTTATCGCAGTTTTTCATTCTCAAATGTTTTACCAAATCTTTGCTTATACAAATAACTTTCTCCAAGAAATTCCTGACACTGAGTTGTTTCAATCAACAGATATGGAAAGGGTATTAACGAGACATGAGGAGAAACCTCACGTGTTACAACAAACCCAGGTGTCAATTGAAGTTTATAAAGAGTTTCTAGAGGTTGAAGAAGCTGATGTAGTAGATGGTTCAGGTGACTTAGGAGCGACTGCAATCAGAGCCAGTGAAGCTCGAGAGAGCAAGAAGCACGATGCCAAACCAAAACAGTTGCACGTACCTGTGGATCCAGATGTCATGGAGTATGTCAATTCCACAGGTTTCCAAGCTGAACTGAACAATTTGATGGCTGTAAAGAAGAGCGAAATCACCTGGAAAGCCAACAAAAAAATGGCTGTCATAGTGTACCGTGGGGAAGAAGAGAGCAATTCCTGGCAATCTGAATGCGTTAATCAGCTGCAAAGCTACTTCGGCAAGTTTGCAAAGTGCGATGTGCAGGTCAGCAAGGATTTCTGGGAAGCCGTGGTAGCTAAAGTTCCCAGCATTCGCGCCTGCTTGGGAGTTGTTCCCCCGCTGGTCAAGACTATTCCAGATTCAAATGTGGCTAGGATCGTTTCATTAGGAACAGATGTGAAAAGTAACGAGGAAAAGGTGAAGTCTAAGTTAGAAGAAATCTACCGCGAGGAAACCAGAAAAACTTACTTAAAGAAGAAAATTCCAAATGTTCCTAAGAAGCGCTTAATTTTTCTGAAGAAAATAAAACTTGCTGAGAAACTTCAAGAAAAGAACAAAGAGTTGGAGATCAAGTTCGATGGTGAAGCTGAAGAAGTATATTTGGAAGGTCCCCAGCCAC